CCGTTTATAAACATGGCCGCATTTCCGCAAGGGAAGCTGTTACTTTTTAGACATAATTAGCTCTCGTTGCAGTGCATAAATTAAAATATTAAGTTGACAAATTAAGGAAATTGAAGCTTTACTTTTGCCAGTCAAGAAGTTTGGAGAACTTTCCCTTAAATTTATTACTTGACCCCCTGAAGTCATTATTCCACTCGCATAAGCTTTGGGTTTTCCAGCTTACTGCTTAATTAAGAAGCTCACCAGGCTCATCCATCTTATTATGTATATTTTCCAAGGAAATATGGAGTGGGAAATACGTAAACATTCGCGCATTCTGGACTGCGTGCTAAAGTGGGAATGTGGGTCAATCAATACACAACGATTAGAGGGTGTGTTTCGCCTTTGCGAATGCACAGACTTATCGACGGAGTGGAACCGCCTTGCAGTCGAGGATGGCGACTGGCGGCTAACCAGCTAGTCCAGCCGGCCAGTCGATAAGCCAGATCCGTTCCCATTTCTCGGCACTTCGGAACCCTGGGACAGCGATGACCAGAAGTGGATCAGCCACTTGGTGGCAAACTGGTTTCTGGTCACCCCGAGCTGCCACTTTTGGACAGCTCAAGTGACGGCTCTATGGAAGAGTGTGTCGCTTGACTAATTATCGCTGTGATCGACGCTCGGCTGATGGGGCGACATAACCGCAGTGAATCACACCCACACCCCACACACCGCCCTGCATGCACCATCTCCCTGCTTCACCAATCCACTGTTTGTCAATGGCTATTTAAAGCATTCGGCTCTGCCTGGCCAACGAACTCTGAATGCATCCAGCGGTGCTGCTATTTCTACACTATGAAAATCTGAACCAGATTAATTGCATTTCTGGAATTACAACAGTAAATCTCTATTAAATTATCAAATGGAATGCAATTTATAATTAACAAGTAAGCTGTTTATATTTTCCCTTATGGGTTGCTTATATTCGGATGTTTATTAACAAAATATATTTTGTGAATATTTTTGTGGGAAGTGATGTCATGTCACTATTATAGCAAAAAGTTTTTATTACAATTTTAATACCAATAAAAAGAGCTTTAGGAAAAGGCTAATTGTGAACGTAGAAGATGATTAGTAATGATTAGAAATGTTTCATAAAGCGGGAATAAATCTTTAAAACCAACTCCTTAAACTCATTATTTCTCACCGTGTCTTGATGCCGCACCCACAAGCACACATCGCGATTTGATTTCTGCCCAGATGGCGAGGGGAAAAGTGTCGTGAAGGGGGCGAAAGTAAACAAACAAGCCGCCGTCGAGGAGAATTTTGTCCACTTCAGCGCTTTGCACATTAATCATAGACCTATAGACGCCCCTCTATCCCCAGTAGTAAAAATCGATGCGACAACAAATAAAAATAGAAAACGGAAAATCCAAGGATGGGTGGCTAAAGGAGGGGAGCTGAGTACCTCAAAGCGGGCTGGAAAAGCTGCCTTCCGTCTGATTGAGTTTGTTGACAGATTAGATTGGTTTTCCCCTCGATGGAGCAGGGTGGAATCTTCTCCTACTAACTAAGAATAGCCCTGAAATGTGGATTCATAAATTGAAAGATACATTTTCGGAGATCTTGCCAACGATCTGGCCACGCTGGAAAAACGCTTTAAAGTTTAAACTGGCATTATCGAAACGCGGCTTAGTCTCTGTTTTCCCCCAAGAGAAGACGAGAGAATTCGGAGAGCCTCTCTCTCTTGGAGCTTCTAACGCTGAAAGACACACCTAGTTGGTTAACGCTCCGCTCGAATTTCGGAATCGGTTTCGAATTCAGGTTTTTGTGATTGCGACTCTTCTTGTTTGAGCCATGTTCGCGTGCTGCCAAGTCGTTAGCCCTCTTAAATTCTCTCACTCTCTCAGTGATTTGTGTTGTACGTTGCACGAGTATAGTTTTAGTTTTCCACTCGCTGGTTGTACAGTTATTAGCATTCAGTGGCTGGCACTCCTCGTTTGCTTTGCTCGGCTGCTTTATCTGTTTGTCTGCTGTGCCCCCAACTTCTTGGCAGCGCCAGCAACCGGTTTCTAATGCAAGCTCTGCCTCTTTTATTTACCACTTTACCACTTTACCACTTTGCATGGCCTGGCCAAGAAGTCGTCTTTATGTTAATGTTTCTTTCTATTTGGGTCAAAGCCCACACCTCCCGGAAAAAAGAGTAAAAAAGTACAAAAAAAAAAACTCCACGTAAACAGCGGCTTTCGAAGAACGGTTTTTCGTTGCCAAGTCAACGCCCCAAAGTTTTCCGGGGATGGTGAAAATCGTGAAATGACTCAGAGGAGCAAAAGGGGAAGCTACTAAAATAACGCTACCAGTCACCTGCCATTCATAACTGGCCTTTGTTGTGGTGTTCCCTTATCTTATCTTAACCATGTTGCCTAGTGGCTGGGATAAAGAGCCGTCCTTGTTTACCCGAGCCGATATCAAACAAATATGCCAATGCAAAAAACGCTCAATGTTTGATAAGGATTGCGGAAACCTGCTTGCCCCGACCACCGATCGATTCTATTTTCGGAGCAGTGACGTTTAAATTCGGGGGGAATTTGAGCAGTGGATTTTGGCCATCGCATGAAACTGTATGCCTTATGAATGCGACAAAATTCCAAAATTATATATAGGCCAAAGAAAGAGATGCAGAAGAGTCGCTTCCTGAAAGTTCATAGTGGTGGGATATGTGTATTTCGAAGATTTTCTCTATTGAAAGGCTTGTGGATTTAAGATACATTTGTTTTTTTTTGGTAAATATTTCACATAAAATGGGTGTTAAGTTAATTTTAAAGTACATTTCATATATATAAGGTACGTTTCTATCACTTCTCCCTTTCTTACAAGTGCGTAATTTTTGAACCCCTATACCTGAACTAAACTGCGTATAATTGAATTTTAAACTGTTTACCCTTTGAAATATGTTTGCCTCGCTGTAAAAAAGTGCTTAAGGTATCTATCCCTCATTGTGAGTATCTATAAGATACATTTAAACACGTATCTACGTAAAAACTTAGCTTTAAGCTACTTTAGTAACTATTTCCCTAAGTAACTGCGTAGCTTAAATGAGAACTACTACACATTGTTACATTTACCCTTTCAGATACATTTACATAAATAAAAGTATCTTTAAGTTACATTTGTATCCGATCGGTGTTGTGGGACGTTTCCTTGACTACCGCGTTTCCAATAAGAATTTCCCACCCTTCCGCCAGCGAAATGCGAAGCAAACGAGGAAAACACAGAGGAAGGAAAATTGGAGTAAGGCAGCAAAGCCAAAAGCAAAATCAAAATCAAAGAGCGACTGGCGACAACAACAATGTGGGCCGAGTTGACAAAACAAGAAGTCGAAAACGAAAGAATATCGTGCCAAAAGATACACTCGAAAAGCTTGACAGCTCACAGATACACAAGCACCGAGATACAAATGCCGCGTGAGTGAGTCCGGCTCTCTCTCTTCGCCGCTCTTTTGCTCTCACGCTCTCGCAAAGCTGCTCTCAATTAACTTTGTGTGCGTATGTGTGTGTGCGTGTGTGCTATGAAGTCATACTGCCCAAGTCATTATGTGCTTGTGTTGGTAACGAAAACATAAAGCCACCAAAAACTCCCGACCACAGCCCAAAAATAAAAAAAAACGGTAGCTAATGTCGCAATCCAAAAAAAAATAAGTTACTTACCCAATTAAGACAAAGTTAGAATCCTTTTTTGTTAATCCACAGGAAGGATACGTAGATGGTGAATACTTTGCGGAGCCTTTAATACCGTTAGATTTTCGTGTTGTATTTTTGTGTGGTTTTCACTTTTCCCCGTTGTTGCACTCTCACACGCTTTCACACTAGTAAACAAATTCTTTGCCACTTTTTTCTATTCGTTCGCGAAAAAAGACAATTTGTTGTTGTCGTCGTCGTCGTCGTTGAATACCTGTTGAAAATTTGACGTTGAGTTTTTGTTGAGTGAGTAATAGAGAACGCTGAGCGGGGGGGAGGGGGAAGAAATAGAGAGCGGGGTGGGCGTGGGCGGAAAATGCGCGAATAGTGGTTGCTAATAAATTATATTCCCATTTATTTATAAACACACAAACTGCCGAATTGCGCGCTTTTCTTTTTCTACCGCCACTATCCACTCGTTGTGGCCTTTTGCAATTCAACTTGGCTAGCAGAGATAGAAAATCTCCTCAGAATTCTGGGAGCGCGACCAAACAAACACGTACCGTCTTCACAAATATTCGATGTGCTGTGCACGAAGAGCAAACTGGTAATGAAACTAAAAAACTGAGAGCCACCCGCTTTTCGATTTGAGTCAAAATTTAGTTGAGTCGCTAGTTCTCTAAATACAGCGAGCCACAAAAGTATTCGTACCCCGCATACACATACATGCATTGTTAAGAGGTAAACTGGTACTGAAAAACTGAGAGTCACTCGAATTTCGATTTGAGTTCGAGACCACCGACCACCGAGTTTCCCAGAGAAACAACCACCAAGTGGTTGCAGTGCTGGCTAACGACGGTGGCTCATCTCATCTGAGCGGTTCGATTTTAATTTTAAATTTGTAAATTTCTAACTTGAACTCCTATTTTTAAGTATAAGTTTATATACCAAAATAAACGTAAGCCGTATTTTCTTTAATTTTATTTTTGTTGTTTTTTTATATAAAGGAAAATAGGAACTGTTTAAAAAATGTATGAAAATGATTTTTGTTTTTATGAAAACTAAATAATTTTACTTTTAAGGCTCGGATTACCCAAGCAAAATTATTATTATTTATAAAACCAAAGATTGGGTTTCTTCAGAATCCAGTTACATTTGTTTTATTTTTCATTAAGAGTCATGGGTTTTAATTCTGACAAGTCTAAGATAAATTTTGAAAAACAATAACGTTTGTTGGAGTCATTTTATCTTATAGAGCCTCACCATTTTTGGCAAGTGGGCTAACCATAAGTAATTATCACTAATTATTAAATTTATTATGAATAATATTAACACCAATTTATGTTTTTTAAAATTTGCCATCAATAATTTTATTATTAAGATATGAACACATTTTCGTTAAATTTCAAAGTTTATCGTGGTGGTTTTTCCTACATTAATGTTAATGTACAAAAATAGGTATCATTAAGTTTAGCATGTGTCTTCCAAATTAAAGTTCTGCGAATCTGATTTAACATACTTAGCATAGTTAAAACTAAAATTGATTGTCAAATTAAAGAGTTTCTAACAGCGAGGAAAGATATACAGGACATTGTCTCCAGCATTCTAACGTTTGCGATACAGACAAGGTTTCAGGGAGAAATCTTTCAGCTTGGTGTTCTTGGGCACATGACGCATCTTCTTGAAGTGGAAGAAATAGAAATAGTTCACAGCCACATCCTTCTTGATCAGATCGAATCCGCAGGCACTCAGGCAGCGCACAAACTCGCGCACATCCTCGAATCGCGATTGGATCTCCGCTATATAGACATTGCCGTGCAGCTTAAGCACTCTATTGGCCTCCAGGAAGAACGCGTTCAGATCAGTACCCATTAGAGAGAGGCAGTAAACAGCCACATCCAGAGATTGAGCTTGAAGTGGGGTATCCGTGATGTTGCAAGCAATGATGTCACTGCGAGCAGCCACCAAATCCATGGAATACACCTTGTTGGGCACGGACTGGGCCAGTTTGCCCTCACCACAGCCAAAATCCCCAATTATGGCGGTTTTGGGTATTTTTTGATAGTCTTAATGATGCGATTGAGTGGATTTGTAGGCCACTTCTCCACCTGCTGACGGTAGCCAGCATGGTAGGCCTCGAAGGCGGAGTTATCTTTTCGGAACAGCGCCTCCGCCTTGCGACTGGGCACCGAGTAGAGCTGCTCGTTTATGTACCGGAAACGTCCGCCCAAGAGTTCCGATTGCAGCTTACTGGCCAAAGAGTTTGCAGTTGGAGGGGCTGAGCTGGTGGTCTCCATGGCCTCGACTGCCGCCTGTGCCAGTTCAGGGTTCAGTTTTAATTCCTTTTTGCCTCCCTTTGTGGCCTGAGTTGGTGGTCGCTGCTTCTCGATTCTCCCGGATTTCACCTTGTGCATGGCCCGGATGCCATCCTCTACATCGTCATCATCATCATCCGAGGAGTCAGCAGGCGGCGCCAGTGGTCCTCCGCCTTGTCGGTAACTAAATTTTCCAGATACCTTGCTCACTTTGGGAGTTTCTGCGGCCACTGCTAACTTTTTCTTCTTGGGTTTCTTTTTCTTTTGCTTCTTAGCGGCAGCAACTCCATTTCCCGGTGGATTCACTGGCTTAAATTCAATTATTTCAGCTCCTGCCTCCCAGGGCGGCACTTCGAACGGCTTCATTTCGTGGAGAAAAATCGTAAACAAATCGAGAAACACGTGAAGCCTGCAGTAAATTAACTAACGCGTTTTTAAAACGACACAAACGCATTTATGAGAAATACCTAACGCGTTTTTTCTTTAAAATGGGCGGGAAATTCAAATCTGTTAGCAATCACATAAGTTATAAAATATTGTGAATAAGTTAATTTAGCATTAAATAGCCTTGAAATAACAACCAAATTTCTTTCACATACTTTTTATTTTTGCACTAAACTAGAGTTCAACAATTTTGTGGGTTTATCTGTTCGTTTTTTCCGTATTAGTTTGTAATTTTCGGTTTTTTGCTTTTCTCGTATGAACTAAATAACTTAAGGTCTAGTAGAATATTTTTACAACTCAATCGACGAAAAGTGCTGTTCGGAAAGTAATCTGTTTTCATCGCTTAACTTAGCCTAAAACCGTAACTATGACAATCAGTTTATTTGTTTTTTAACATACAGATACAGACCATTAATTTGCATTTATTTCTTTTGTTTTTTGTTAATTCGTGTTACTAGATTAGAAAAGTTACTTACTAGCTAGTTTTGTTTCCCAACAAACCGTATCATCCTAGATCGCTCCCCTCTTAATTCATTCCCAAAAACATCCTTAAATTTCCGTTGCGGTTTTGAGCCAATCGAAAGCAGTTTAACCAGCTAAAAACATTGCGATTTACAATTGCTATAGACTAAAAATTAATTATTAGTTCTAATTGCCTTAGTGGATCTCGAATCGTATGGATAATTGCGTGTGTTTCTTTTAGTGTACTCGTATGTATACTTGGATTCTCCTGCTGACTGACTATTTGGAAACGTATCTATTGGCTTTGTGAAGCGTGTACACAAATCTCTAACATAACTATCCGTAGCGATTACTGTAGGTCATTAAAGTTACTTGTATAAATTAAAGCATTTCTTTGTAATACAAAAATATAGCTACAACGGAATTGGGTAGACGCAAACGTCTTATACATATATATATATCGTATCGTGTGATCCGGCAGATCGAAAGATAGCGATTCGGGCCGAGTATCCACTATCAGTGTGTGTGTGTGTGTGCTTGGTAGTGTGGATCTCATCTCCTCCGAAGCCTGCCTCTTCTAGGTGCTGTAAAATTGCGCTAATCTAAGCTATCGAACGCTCGACATGCAACTGGCTCTCTCTAAACCTTTATAATCAATAATTCACTGCTTAGTCTACGAGTAATTAAATTACAGTTAATAGTTGACGACGCGTCGGCGGCCCTTAAAACTTGTGTCGTGAACCGGATTATATTTAAAATATAACAGTGGATTAAGCGGGCGTCCATTATCTTAGTAGCTAGCCTCGTGCCCGGCCAGAATGTACAGATCATGTCCCTCCTCGCTGCCCAGGGAGCCGGTCCTCAGCAGCTGGCTCTCCAAGGCCACAACCCTGAAAATTAAAAAAAAAAAAAACATGATAAGATTAAAAGGGCTTAAATAAAAATGAGCTCCTCACTTATCGCTGCCCAGCAGCCTGTAGGTGCGACTCATGTCCTTGATCTCCTGCGTCACCTCGCCGTTGCGCAACGACTTCCCCTGCATGCCGTGCTTATGGAATGCCAAAACGCTGTCCGGTAAACACACTGAAAATCAATACACTCATTGAGAGGAAAATCCTTGAGAAAAATGTTACCATCTCTTACCAATACTGTCCACGTTAAAATCAAAGTTGAGCTGCGATACCATCTTCTTGTGCTGCTTGGGGTTGCCCTGCAGCGTGACCACCTGTATCAGATTGCCGTAACAGACCAGAATGGCGTCCTTCTCCACCTGGTGCACACGCACCACCTTCAGCAGGTCGCGTCGCGGCACCATCGTGGCCATGGCGTCATACTCCAGGTCCTCCGAGTGGAACCAGCTGGCACCTGTGAAAATTATAGAAATCGATTAAGTCGAAATTTTGATTCTCGAACCACCATCCACTCACTGTTCATGTTGATCAGCTCCAGCTTGAGGCAGCCGTTCATGGCCTTTCGCACACCCGTACAGACTATGGGGTACTCCAGCTCGGGCGTAATAATCATCTCGAATACGGGTGTGTGCCCATTCTGGACACAGCCATGTCCACCGCCCTGAATGCTGATGGCTGGCCACTCGCACTGCTTCAGCAGCATAAACTTGTTCAGTGGATCGTACCACTGCATCAGGAAAATGCCGCTGGGCGTCGCCCCACACAGGTATTTGTATCCGTTGTACGGATTCCGTGTGACACAGCACTGCGTGCAGCACTTTGTGTCCGGCACCTTGGTGGTTAATGCGAATTTCCGTGGCACCAGTCGCTCCGGGATCTTGTTCATGTGCAGCGAGAAGCGCACCGTCTGCTTGGAGTGCAGGGCCACCAGGTCGTGCCTATAGAGCTGGCAGGATTTTCCTGAAAATGAAAAAGCATATAATTAAAAAAGGTACGATAAGGTCGATTAGTTCAAAGTTTGTCAACACAAGAAGTTTAGGATAACAATCTTTTTAATTTTAGAATACTTAAACATGAAAGGGCCATTAGTTCTTGTCTAAGATAAGTTATTAAGCTTAGAAAAGATATAGTATTACCCACCTGACAGACTCATTAGCACATCCTTGATGACATACAGCCAGGTGGTGCGGCGGGGGAACAACTGATCGATGGCCGCGTCGTGCAGTTCGTTCATATTGAGGTTGTAGATGCCCTCCTCGGCTCCAATCAACAGATGCTGGTCCCGCGTCTCCGGATGGATCCACGAGGCAGTGCAGTGCACCCGCAGTGGGCAGCCGTTGAAGATCTTGGAGAAGCAGGCGCCCATGTGCACCTTGGGTGTGGGCGGCAGACCGTTGGAAATGGGTCGAGGAGGCGTGTGGCGGCGCTTGTGGGAACGTTTCGGTGGCACCGGTGGGGTGTTGTTCAGCAGATCCGGTTGCGCCTCCTTCTCTGCTGTATTTTATAGGAAAGATATTAATTTTTCTATTTTGTTTGGTGTTTTACTTGTACTCACCTTCGTCGTCGTCTTGAGTTCCGCCATCGCTGAGGCTGCGTGTCCTCGAGGACTTGCCCATGTTTTCAAGCAACCCAATCAGCTGATCCATGGAGCTATGGCGTCGAGGAGAGTCCTCCAGACCATTCTATGGGTTTACAAAAAAAGTGGTTAAGAAATAACTTTTAAAGTGATATTTATCATTTTTCACCTGGTTGCTCTCGTGTCGGTAATCACAGTTGTTGCCCGTCGAGCCTGAGCCCACTGGCGCCTCTCCGGAGCTGCTCCTCAACAGGTTCTGGTAAAGATGCGAGGAGTTGCTGGATGAGGGTCCATCGTTGTCCCTCGATCCTGAAGTTCCCGTTCCGGAGTTCACCACCGGGCTGTTGGAATGCGAGAAGCCATCGCCGACGGATTTAATGCCTGGTTGGGTAGTAGCATCCAGGTCGTGCTTGTCCAGGAGGCCATTGGTGCCACCTGTTACTCCACCACCGCTGCTGCTGTGGTTGCCGCTGCTGCCGCCTCCGTTGCCGCCGACGACTGCATCGCCGCTGGAATTATCGAGGAGTAGGAGGCGATTATAAAACGAAGCTGATGACGCAGAGGACGAGATGCTGGATGAGATCGGCGCGTGGCCATGGCCGTTGTTCGAATTCGAATTGGAGTTGGCGTGCGGATGCGCCGCCTGCGATGCCTGAGCCGCGGCGGCCGATCGGTAGTTGCTGCTGTAACGCAGATAATGCGCCGCAGAGGCGGAGCATCCGGATCCGGAACCGTTGCCAGCACCGGATCCGTTTCCAGGAACGGCGGCAGCAGCATTATTCATGGCCACATCGGCAGCCACCAGTTCATCGTCGTCGGCATCGATGCTGGTGGTGCGCAGATTGGACAGGCCGAGACCCATGCCAAAACCCATACCCATATGGCCACCCCCCACATGGGTGCCCATGCCCAGGTAGGCACTGAGACCCGGCATGGAGGCCAGCGAGGCGGACGAGCTGATGCAGTTGGCATTGGCGGTCACCGAACCGCTGGATATGGACGAGGTCATTGGATGGTGGTGATGGTGTTGCTGCTGTGCCGCCTGATGTTGCTGTTGATGTGCCTGCTGCTGTTGCTGCGGCTGCTGCTGCGGCATTTGATGCAGCTGATGCTGATGCGAATGATTCGGATGGTGGTGATGCTGGTGGTGCTGTTGGTGCTGATGATGGGTGGTGCCGACTGCTCCGCCTCCGCTGCCGCTGTTGCTGCCGCCGCCACTGTTGCTGCTGCTGCCGTTCGCGGGTGCCCCGCCTGTTACTCCTCCTCCTCCTCCTCCTCCGGCGGCTCCTCCATTGTGGGAGGAGCAGCTGCACTCGGCGGCGAGTGGATCTTTGGTGTCGTTGTTCAGTGGCAAGGTCGCTCTGCGGAGCGTTTCAGACAAGCGGAGGGTATCGAGAGATCAAGAGAAGAGAGGCGAGAGAGAGAAAAGAGAGCCGAGATTTTGAGCTTCCTTCTTCGATCGTTAAGGTAAACACTATGTTGGCTATATAGCCTTTCGATTTGTTTTAATCGTTTGGGGGGAGGTGGTGGTTGGGTGAAGTTGTGATTCTGTTGCTGTGGGTTGCTGAGTTCGAGTTGCGTGTGACGGAGAGGAGGCAGGAGGCAGGAGCTGACCCCCAGGTCCATCCTGTCTGGCATGCAGTTGGGAAGGTCTCTTATTTTGTGTGATTTTATAACATGCAATCGAATTGATAAACTCCCTTTTGGGCAACCGCAAAAGGGGGTGGCAGTGTGGGCGTGTTAAACGGATTACGCTTTTAATGAAATTATTTACCACCCACGGGTTAAGCCCACCCACTGATGCTGTTGTCCTACTAGTTGGTAGTTGGTTCTCTCCTTTTTTTTTATTATTTGACGAAAGATAAATAAATAAACTAATATGAGGCCATAAATTATGCATGAGATGCAAAACTCAAATGCTCAAAGATACACACAAAGCACATCGAAATACACTCACAAACACACACGCAAATGAAAATGGGAAATGCCTGAATAGAAAATTGCC